TCACGCACGCACACACACACACACACACACACACACACACACACACACACACACACACACACACACACACACACACGAAGTGAATTACCTCTACGTTACCCAGATTCTTTCGGCGCGTTCCATCTATTTTACTATATTACATCTCTGTTTTAACGACATTATACGTCTGTGTCCTCCTCCCTACTATCTATTGCTATTTACACGGCGACATCAAAATAATCGGTTTTACTCGCGTTTTCAAATCTCCGCGCGTGTTTTTCTAAACCTATTACTTTTTTTTTGTTTCGAATATTACCCTGTTACGAGTTCGACGCACCCTCGCCGTTCGTAAAACACGCGCGCACGCGTGATCCCGTGCGTGCGTGCGTGCATGCGTGCGTGCGTGCGTGCGTGCGCGCGTGCGCGTGCACGTGTGCGAACGTTGTGTGACTATATGAATTGTGGCAGCTCGTGTGTGCAAACTTCTCCCATCGCGTTATAGTCAATGACGGATGATGAATGATGATATGGCGACGTACGATGACACGCTCGCGGACAGCCGCGAACGATCCGGGCGTCGATCCCGCTCCCCCCCTTCATTCCTTTCCTCGTCCTTCCACCTTTTTTTCCTTTTCTTCCATGTGCCCTTTCCATCCCTCCGAGACACGAGGATGCTAACATTTAGAGAGTTCTCTACGACAATACACATTTAGCTCGCCGAACATCCCTTGAGGAAAAATTTCGTTCGGCGTACAGAGAGACGTCGTCTAATTTACGAATCGCGAGTCACCAGCTCCCGGAAGCTGTCAGGTTGAACGTACGGTTCCCTCCGAACGTCCAGCCCGAGTTATATATACCAGTCGAGGAAAAATCGTAAACGGATTCTTGCCGAACGACCGGCTTGGTAGCCTCCCGGTAAAATGCCTTTTTTTTTTTTCGTTCGAGTTAGAGCCTTCGAAGTACATTACTGATAGATTATCGGGTGGGTAGGTTCAACGGGTAGATCGCTGTCGAGATCGAGAAAGACGCCGTCCTTGGAGACAAGGTAGTGCGTTAAGAGCTGTCCCTTGCCCTTGACGAAGACGAGACCTCGTTGCTCGAAGCCGAAACCGAACGGCTCCAGTATCTTCCGCGTCTCGTCGGTGACCTGTAAATTATTATTATTATTATTTTTTTTTTAAGACAGATCAATTTTGTCCGAATTTAATTTGTAAGAATCTCTCCGTTAAAAAAACAATTGGCAAAAAAGAAATTTACAAGCGATTCTTAATTTGGAATTTTTTGGATACCTGAATGCAGCCGACCTTCCCCGTGCTCTCCATCCTCGACGCGACATTGACGGTGTTGCCCCAAATGTCGTAGTGGGGCTTCCGCGCCCCGATAACGCCGGCAGTCACCGGTCCGTGATTGATGCCCATTTTCAAAACGAAGTGATTGAAGCTCTGCTCGTTGATGCTTGATAGGGCTTTCTTAAGCTCCAGAGCGAACTCCACGAGGGTGACGAGGTGGCCCCACTTGAGGGGACTATCCTGCATCGACTCCACCTCGGATATTCCCGAAGCGGCCATGTAGGTCGATCCTATCGTCTTGATCTTGATGATGCTCATGAATTTGTTCTGATCGAGGATCTATAAGCCAGATAGGATAAAATAAGTTGTATAAGTCAAAGGAATATGAAAAAAAGAAGTAACTCGCTGCTCAAATGACAAATCTGTCGAGAACAGATTCTAAAAGTGTCTGCTTTTAAATTTTCTCGATAGAATGTCAGCAGAAATATAACAGAATCTTTATTAGCAGAATCTGTCAACAGAATATAATGGCAAATTGATTATGGAAACTAACAATAAGTAGAATCTGCCGTTTTGTAACCATTTAAATGTTTACACGAAATGAGAGATTCTGTTCAATTTCCGCCAACAATCTGCCGTCGGATTATATTGACAAGCTCTGTTAGCAAAATGAATTTAACTATATAAGCTTTGGGATCTCTGGGATCTCTTTGGAATCTCTGAGATCTCAGTGAAATTTCGAAACTCCATTATTGGTAGAATTAATAAAGCTATAATAGAGAAACTTTGCGGATTATTATAACTATATATTATAGACCATTTATTATAATTTTAAACTTTGAGTGAATAAACGTATCTCTTATTGTTAATTCATTCACGATTGATTTTCAAAAAATTAATCACAATACGATAATTTTACCGAGCACTATAATGAAAAAAAAAACTGGCAGGGTTTCCTGTGTGATAATCACGTATACGAAAAATAAGTATGCATACTTAAAATTACTGCAGATACACAGAAAGAACGATCTTGCTGGAAGTCTAAAAATATTGCTGGATACAGATCTGGAAATAATTTTGTTCGACCATCAAAATAATTTTATTGAAAACTTAAAATTTGTGAACATTGCTGTAAAATAATATATAATCTGACTATATATGTATTTAACACAATTAAATTGAGAGAAGCCCAACAAACGGTTATAACAGAATCTTGATGCTTCTATTTAATATTTCTATGCGAATTTTACGTACGTATTCTAGTTTCATAAACTGCGCGTAGTTACTTTCAGTCTCAATGCAGTTCTTCCTTGAAATCGAATAGTATTCTCATGTTATTACATAAATTGATTAAATTGATCAATTCTGTTTCAAGAACTGCGTCGAGACGGAAAGTAACGGCGCACAATTTATCTATGGAACTAGAGAATATGTTATATATGTAAAATTCACATCCAAATATTAGAAGCATTAGGATCTTGCTATAACTGTTTATTGGCCTTCTCTCAATTTAATTGTTGTAAAATGTTTTGATATTCTAACAACCAGCTTGAATTTCCATTAAAATTATTTTGATAATCGAACAAAATTATTTTCAGATCTGTTATTCAGCAAAACTTTTAAACGTTCCAGCAAAATCGTGTACAGATGATATCGGATCTGTGTTGTAATATCTGTGCAAATCTGTCGTACTGCGGGTGGTCTGTTTGCCGGGTACAATGGGGAAGTTTCGCGTTAATAAGATGATCGAGGTGAAACTTACGGCGTCGAAGTCGGAGATGACCTCATTCAGGAACCTGAGGCACTCGAGGCCTTGATTGTTGATGCTCTCCTCGCTGTAGAAGTCCGCGAAGTTCGGCATACTGGCGAACAGCACGCCCACCTCGGCGTAGCTCTGACTGTAGAGATCATCGTGGTGCCTCGCACGCGACAGGAAATACGCGGCCACGTGGGGCGGCAGAATGTTATAAATCAGCGCGCCATTTCTTCGCTTCATGTCCGCCGCTCGTTCCCTCTGCGCGATCACCTCCCGCCCATGAAGATAGAGCATCCTTCGCGCCTTCTCGGTCTGCACATAACATTCGTATCTTCGTTAACAAGTTTGCCATTCAAATTTTTCGCGCTGTCGAAAGCAACTGCAAAAAAAATCGAACAGAGAGAAAAAACAATGCTGAAATATTTAAAAATTTAGCTAGATATGATCTAAAAATAATTTTGTTGGATCATCAAAATAATTTACGCTCAAGCTGGTCGTCGGAATGTCATAACTGTTTTAAATACTTTAGCAAAATCGTGCTTCCCCTAAAACTTTGATTGCAATTAAATTTCTAATTGTTCTAAATTTTTTTCAACATTAATATAACGTTTCAACGTTTCGATATAAAATAGTTATGTTTATAGCAACTGTAGTCTTCATTCGAACTCTCATCTATGGAATTTCCTCGCGTTCCATGGGACCCGCGGGCGAATTACACTTCCGTGAAGGTACGAGAAAGGAAATGTTTCATTAGGACGAAAATTCCGCGAAATTGCTTTCGCCTGTCTCTCTCACTCGGCGCTTTCGATAGCAGATGGAGGGATCGCGCTGGGCCGGGATAAAGTGTCATTCAACGCGCCGTGAAAAGCAAAAGCTCACTCAAAAATCGCGAATTACCCGAGGTTATCCGATTTCTCGATTGAAGCCGTCATCATCGCTATCCGCAAATGGATTATGTTTCTATTTCGCGCCCAAATACCCGATTGTCGGATTATTTCGGATGAACTACATACAACACAGCGCGTTTGATTTATTTTTTTTTGCCGGTATGCGAAGTGCGGAGTTAGTACAGTTTCGGCAAACGAAACCGGAATAATTTGATTCGGAATATTGAAAAAAAATACGCGTTTTAACGTGATTTCAACATATAACGTTCGACACGGCCAATTTGTACGAGAATAGTATCCTCCAAAGTACTCGCGATATCGCTCTCGATATCTGATTTAACGCGACACAGAATGGATCGTCGAGGCAATCGTCGGCGCGATTTTATAGACCCGTGAGAATTGATTGTTCTTTTATCGACATGTCGACCTTGAAGGAAGGAATCATTTTCGCGAGTCGTTCCATTCTCGCGTGCTGCGAACGCACCGTAGATCGATCGGCACGTAAAGCGCGGCCCGAGGTATTTTCCCCCGTTAAAGCTTGTAGCAATCGACCGTCGTCAATGTCACAATTTCCCAATGTGCCCAAGTTAATTCGTTACTTATTCAACATTATTGATAAATACGATTCCTGGATTGTCCTAGATATAGGTCCAGAGATTCGAGCCTTGGCTGGAGCGATATTTTTTGCAATAAATTCTTTGCTAGTTTGTATAAGATGTTTATTAACTAGTAATATTAAATTAATATAGTAACAGTAATATTAAATTTAGAGGGTGTGCGAATAGTTCGAATTCGAATCGAATCGAATCACAGTAGATTCGATTCGAGTTCGTTTTCAAATCTGCAAGATTCGAGAATTTCGAATCAACAATGGTTCGATTTCGAATCGATCGCCTATTTTATTTGGTTCATTTACATCTCCCGTGCAACCAATTATTCTTATCTAATAAATAAGTATTTTTGATATACGTAATGTATTTATATAAATTAATAAAATATTCGAAAGCAATCTAATTACTCGTGTATACACATATTATTAATATTTTTTAGTTCAAAATGTTACATAAGATCCCGATCCTTTGTAATGAAATGTAAATCGAAAACAGATCTTCATTTTGTTTAAATCATTACGTAAAATAATGTAAATCATAAATTTTGATATTTATTACATTTAAATTAACATGTAATGTTAATCTGAGAAAATTTGATTCAGATTCGATTCATATTTGAATTAAAGAGATTCGATTTGATTCGATTCGATTCGATTCGACCATACAAATGTTTGGTTCGCACACCTCTAATTAAATTAATTATTAATTTAATAACGTGATATTACATATCTTTTGACATGAAACTGCGTTTCAAGACTAAATAATGATCGATGATTCATAAAGGCGGAATGTATAAAATTCAAAAATATTATTATTAAAATCTCGCCCAATAATCGAAAATATTAATATTTATTTAGTCATTAATATGAATTGAATAAATAAACATTAATATTTTCGATTATCGGTCGATATTTACTTATTAAAGTAAATTCGATGTTAATTTCTTTTACGCTAATAGGATGAAATAAGTGCGATGCTTGTAGCGATTTAAAATCTTTCTAAGTGAAACGTTTTGCACTTACGTATCTCGCCACGATGACCAGCGCGGTCGCGACGGTGAACAAGGTGGCGGCCAGCGAATATTTCAGCGGGAATGGCACGGATCCCTGGTCCGACGCCATTTCCTCCCTGTCGAGGCTCGACGCGAGGTACAGGATGTTGATGTATGTCTGCGTGCCGGCGAGGAGGTACATCAAGGTCGCTTTGGTCAGGTAACAGAGGTATGTCGGCATCGAGATAGCGATTAGCGCGAGGACGCCGATGTATGAATAATAAGAAGGGTACGGGCATCGCGGGGACCAGTTCATCGAGGTGTTCCTCGGCGGCACGGCGTCGTCGATGATCGCGCAGTTAAACTACGTAAAATAAGGATGGTAAGAATAATGTGCAGCTGATATCTCTGCCTACACGGAAAGAACAATTTTGCTGGATCCAGATCAGAAAATAATTTTTGTTCAATAATCGAAATAATTTTGTTGGAAAGTCAAAATGATTGCTAGAATATCAAAACGTACTTTTAAAGCAATGCCTATCATTTTTAACTTTCCAGCAAATTATTTTGATTATTAAACAAAACTTATTTTTAGATCTGTATTTAGCAAAATTTTTAGACCTTTCAACAAAATCGTTCTTTCCGCGTATCGTTTTTTCTAAAGTGACATTTATAATTAAAAAAAAACTCGAGCGCTTTGAAATACTAAAGCTGATATTCACCGACTTAAGTACAGTCTTAAGATGTCATAAACCAATCATAAAGCTGCACGGAAAGAACAATTTTGCTAAATCCAGACCTGAAAAAAATTTTTGTTTAATAATCAAAATAATTTTGTGCAAAAGTCAAAATGATTGCTAGAATATCAAAACGTTTTATAGCAATGCTTATCAGTTTTAACATTCCAACAAATTATTTTGATGATTCAACAAAAAATTATTTTCAGATCTATTTTTAGCAAAATTTTTAGAACTTTCAACAAAATCGTTCTTTCCGTGTGTATATATATCTTTCTTGACGAGTGGTGATCGTGGCACGCGTCTGTTCTCTGTGCCGAAGACCAGGTTCAAATCCACCCAGAACATATTAGATCATTGTTTTCGATCATCGTCTTTTCAAATTATGACAAACTACCGAAAATATTTCTGTCAAGACAGTCACCATGAAAATGTATACAAATGAAGCGGCGAGATTGTCATGGCGAGATGACAATTCGTGCGCTCCCGAGTGATTGCATAAAATGGAGACTACAGTCATGAAGGATCGACTTGAAAGATAGATTAAGATATTATCTTAAGACATTACTTAATACGGTATTAAAATAAGAACGAATTATGAATACCGGCCCTAAAAATTATAAAACAAAAATACCCTGGCAAAAAATAAAAATTAGAGTGTAAGTCGAATGTAAAGGGAGAGTGACAAAAGCATAAACGAAATTTATAGGAAGCGTAAATTGGATGGCGAAAAGAGAGACGTTTATCTTATAAAACGCTACTTTTTGGTGCACAAACTTACGTCTCCTAAAAATGTCGTTTATACTTTTGTCACTCTACCTTTACACTCGACTAAGCTCCGATATCTATTTCCGCTAGGATACGTAGGTCTTCTTTAATGCTGAAGATTATATACAACGAGTACCGTTATATAATCTTCATTCATTAAATTTTCGCTGAAAAATGAGCTCTGAATTCCCACGGAGAGATAAATCTGGGATTTCTTAAGATAAGCGAATTAAGAGAGAGTGAATTCAATCGTGCGAGCGGTCGAGCTGTGCGGCAACAAGTATCGATTGGGAGCAGCCTGTCCGAGTTCCGTACCATGTCTAACAGCAGGAAGATCATGAGGGAGCATGACATCAGGATCGCGAGGGTGCCCCTGAGCCACATCGCCCTGACCGCGTTGCCCAGGCAGGTGGCACCGGCCAGCACGATGGCGAAGAGGGCGACCACCCCGGCGCCGCCCCACGTGAACGGACTCCAGGGCTGCAGCCTCCAGACCGGGGCCGCGCACACCATGACCAGCGGTCCGCCGAGGAGCGACAGGGGCGAGAAGGCCTCCTCGACGAGCTGGAAAAGCGCTTCCACGTGCCGATCCTTGAATCGCAGGGTCAACCAGGAGGCGTGACCTTTCAGGTCGGTACCACCACCTACGAGGGTTCGTTACGCTGACGTCACATGTATAAGGTTGAGTCATTAACAAGCCGGATGTCCGACGACTGGCATCGGGTTACCCCCTTATCGGGCGGATCTTCGCCGAGGCCGAGACTCTTTCGAGCGATTTCGCGAGAGGACGTCCGAAAAATCTGATTTCAATGGATTTAGAGACTCTCAAGACGAGAGAGAGAGAAAGAGAGAGATTATATTTTGCAAACGTTAAAACGTTATTTAAAACGAAGATTGTCGGCCTTCCTCGATGTATCTCGAATGTATCTTAAAATCTTTAAACGTATACCCGAAGGAAAGATCATTCTCGCGATTTCGCCGACCCTCGTTACGTATGTAGTTGAATATTAATCAACGTAGCGAGACACGCTCGCTCGATTGCAATCAGTGTCCGCGTCGATAATTCGCAACACTACTCGATGAGAGAGTGGAACACTTTGCGAACGCATGCGCGAATTTTTAAGCCGCATTACCGAGTTGAAATGTGAAACAACGTTCCACCCCTCGATCTCCTTGGATTTAATTTCGCCGAGTTTTTACGTGTATCACGTTCCCTGTAGCAACTCCGGCTTAAAAATGCCTGACTTTTTCAATTTTTACCTCTGCTGTCGAGTTTCTTTCTCAGACGTTGCTGAAATTCCTCGGAATCCTCGCGAATATTGTCCACCTTGTCCTGCACGTTCTCCATTGCTCTTTGCGAGTTCTCCGCGTCCGCCAGCGACGCGAGGCTCTTCGTCACCGCCGGCTTAAATGGCTTCAAGGCTCTCACGATGAAGTAAGTGACGAGGCCAGCTTTTTGGAGTGCCTCCTCCCGGTCCTCCCCGTGCGCCGGCTCGACCTCGAATTCCCCATTTAGGAAGCTCAGCGTCGCATTCGAGATGTGTACCCTCCTTGAAGCCAATTTATTTATTTATGCACTCGGCGTGCAATCGCGCGCGGTCTTTCTCAACGAATATATAGATAGAATGTCACGTCACCCTTTCGCTCGATTACATTAATATCCGAGAATCGAATAATATTTCTCGTCGTGGTGTTAAACAAAAAGTCAAGATAAAACGAACGTACATATGCTTGACGTTGATCAAACAATATACCCAGCAAACACAGATTATAACTGCAATGTTGCTGTAATGTTATAACATTCCAACTACATATATTGCAGAAGTGTTACAATATTTCTGTACACGGAAAGAACAATTTTGCTGAATCCAGATCTGAAAATAATTTTTGTTCAAAATTATTTTGTGCGAAAGTCAAAATGATTGCTAGAATATCAAAACGTTTTATAGCAATACTTATCAGTTTTAACATTCCAACAAATTATTTTGATGATTCAATAAAAAATTATTTTCAGATCTGTTTTTAGCAAAATTTTTAGATCTCTCAACAAAATCGTTCTTTCCGTGTATTATTGCGGTTATAATTTGTATTTGCTCACGGAAAGAACAATTTTGCTGAATCCAGATCTGAAAATAATTTTTGTTCAATAGTCAAAATTATTTTGTGCGAAAGTCAAAATGATTGCTAGAATATCAAAACGTTTTATAGCAATACTTATC